CCACCCAACACACACACACACAAAACCACAGAAATATTGCCGGGGTGGTGGGGGTCAAGGGTGGGGACTGCATTAGAAAATTAAAGCAGACACTGCTGTCTGATAATTCCTTTGTTTTCTTCTTGCAGGAATGTGTTTCCTTTGTTCCTCCGTGCACGTTCATGCATTTTTAACCACATCTTTGATGATCCGATTCATTTTTAATCATTTATTGTTTTTATCATTGATGTTTGAGTTTTGAAGTCTCGTCATTATGGTAAGATGTAGTATGAGATATTATAGCAGTAGGCTATATTGCACAGCTTTGATTTGGTTTTGCACTGTATTGATGCTATTTGATTTATATTTGAACAAAGAGACATAAAAAAGCCGTTCTTGTGATTTAATATTAAACCTCAGTAGTGGGAGAAAAGAGCGAGGGGTTTTAGGATGTTCTAATTGACTAGTGGCCTTGTCAGTTATCCTTTTTATAGGACTTTTCTTGTTTCTGGTTGGTCAGGTTTGTGGCAGCAGAGAAGATGCTGTTGGACCTTTTTTATTTTATTTTATTTTATTTTTTCAGAAAGCTTGCAGAGGATAAATGGTGGGGTGGTTTAAAAACAACAGCATGGCACACGAAGTCAAAGCATTCCTTGCAGTGGACATTTTTTGCAATTGTTTCATGTGAACTGTATTTGATTTATTTCTTTGTTTTTCAAAGAACTATTAACCTGTGTATTTAAACATGACAACTGTAAGAGCAAAAATCTTATAGTTTAACCTTATAATTTGACTATATGTGGCTCCTGTTCTGGCTAATGTTTGTTGTATGTTAAAGCCAAACATGTACCCTGTGATAATGGGCTTTTATATAATCTGCATCCAGTTTATGAAATATTTACCAATTCTTAGATAGAGGCGCATAGTGCAACTGTGCTGCTACACATGGAGTGAATGCCCGAGCGGCTGGAAACTGGCCTTTTTTTCATACATTTCTATCAGGAATTAACTCTTTACTTGGGAGTAGTCGCATGCATTCATGCACATATGCATGTGCAGACATATAATTATTATTTTTTGTATTATTTTTTGGTGTCTTGCATCAAGAATTGAAACCGTGTGTGGTAGAAGCACACCTTAGGACTTTAGTGAGGTTAAATGGGTGATTTGAAGCTCAAATATATATTTTTTGTTTTATTTTATTTTGCAGGAACAGTTTTAATCATCTGTATATAAGTATCAGCATAAGATTTTTGTTTTGGTTTTCTTGTTACTTTATTTGTAGGCCTATTTAAATTATAACTAACTCAATTAAACAATAATTGTGTCCTTTGATTGGTTTTTAAGACAGCTTAAGCAGTAAAATCTTAAAAGTGTGCAAGTGTGGGATTATTTTTTTTGTTTTATTTTGTGGGGGAAAAAAATTTCAAATAAGCCCATCAATCCACCTTCATTATGCGAAGGGTAGTTTTATGTCCCAGCTGATGGGGGGGCAGGTGTGGATTGACCCTGGTCACCTCATCCCTCATGACCCCCTCACTCGGATCACATGACTCAGTGACTGATTGAGGCCCACCTTTATCTGCGTATTTTTCATGAATATTGAAAAAAAAATGAAGCAGCCAATCAGACAACAGTGTGAGCTCTTGTGTTTATCTTGAAAGCAACTTCTAAATAAACGAATGAGAAAAGGAGGAAAAGAAAATGCGAAGGAACAAAGTTTTGTGTGTTTGCTGTGCGCTCCGTCGTCCGTTGCAGATCAACAGAAGTCAGCGTGGAGCTGAACACAAAGAAACACAACAGAGGGCGCGTGGTCCGTTACCAGAGAGACGGCGCAACTATTGGTGGCGCCGCGGTTGGTTATTAAGTGAACAATTCATACGTGTGCACTCTGGAACTCCTCATTTACACGGTCACACATTAAGCGGGCCACGCTTCAGAATATTAACCACACCGTGTGTACATTGATGCTGCAGGATTGGACCTGGCTAATAATTTGCCGTTGGTGGGTCTTGACACATGCCTGGGGCTCCAGGACTGCGGGCGTCAATGCTGGGGCTCCCCCGCCCCCTCCTCCGATCTTTAAAAGCCTTTCCCTCATCCATCTTTAACCTGAATGTTCAAATGAAATTAAATTTGCTCCATTAAAGTGCCTGTGACATGCATGTTCTTCAAATACAAAAAGAAAACATCTTTATATTTAAGAAAGTTGGAATAAAGCACATGATTTTACCCATTTTTTCCCTTAACTGGCAGATTTTCTTTTGAACTTGACTCAGCCAAAGTGAAACAGGAAGTGACATCAAAGGGGAACTCGTTAACAAAGAAAACTCTCTGGTCTTTGTTTATTAAAAAATTATTATTTGAACTCTGACTCCTTCATCTGATAGAGACTCAAAATAATCTTAAGAAATATCAGATTCTTCTCTACAGTCTGGTTTGTTAGCTGTTGTAGCAACACTCTGTTCACATTCAGACATTCCCCTTTGACATCACTTCCTGTTATTTTACAGGCAAAAATCTCAACAACTGTTCATCTCAGCGACGTGAAATTTCTTTTGCAATATTTTGTCAATGACATCTTTTCAAAAATACATTCAAATGTATTACAAAAATTTGACGTCACAGGTACTTTAAAGTGTTTATCAGTTCAGTAATGACCTACCCTTTTCTAAAACAATGCAAAAAAGAAAGTTATAAAGTCATGAGACGATATGACAAACATAGGAGTGTGTGTGTGTATGGTCAGGGTGAAGGTTGAGCCTACTGAGGAATAATTGCATGTGGTGAAGGAAAGTTTTATATTTAGCATCAGCCAATTTAGCCTGGAGCTGTGAGGACACGGACACACGTTGGTCTTAAAGGATCCCCACAGCTCTGTAGAGGAGTCTGTGCTTTTAGACACCGTAGATTAGATTAATACAAGGTGGACGTCCGCCTGTGTGAGGAGTAACGGTATGAGAGACGAGATTTATCAAGTGGAGAGTGAAAAAAAAAAAAACGACAGCCTGTTTGGCTCCTTTTAAGCTCTCTTTAAAAGGAAGTCTGCATAGCTGAACTAAAACCAAATAATCAGTTATGAAATATTTTGCCCATCATTTGGGTCTGAAAGGATTCTGGATGATGAGAGTCAGAGATCTTTGCTCCATTCTTCCTCTACTTGTTGCTAAACTTTATTTTTATTTTTTTAAAACGAATGAATCCGTATATGATTATGTCCTGGGTGACTCGACACAGTTTTGTCCTCTGTTTAAGCCAAACACACGCCGGCTGCATCTCCGCTGGCCTTGATGGCGAAGGGAAGACGAGCAGGGAGGACGCTCACATTAAGATAATGGCTCACACAGACACACTCTCACACAAACTCCCAACACAGGCGCCGGCACATCCTCAATTCAAGCATCTCTGCGGATGATTCTCATAAGTTGTCTGCTGGCTGCAACACACACGCGCACATTGTTTAAGATCTGGGAGCTTTTGTGCAAAGTGTGTGTGTGTTTGTGTGTTTTGACAGAACACAAGCGAACAGAGAGTCGGTTCTTTAAAATGTATTCTGTGTAGTCCGAGAGGTACAAAGGCCAGATATGGTGTAAAACACAAGTACAGTGAAAATCCACAGAAGCTTCCCCAGATGTGCTTTACTGTGGGAGAAATCAATAACTGTGGGCTATGATGTGGTTTTAGTTTGCTCTCTTGACCTTTCCATCTCGGCAGCAGCTATTGTACTGTAGTTTATACTACCATCTAAAAAAATCTCTACTATATTTGGATTCAGACGTTCCAGCTGAGTGTTTTATACAAATTCAAATAGATTTCTAGATGGCATTTTTGAAAAATCACATCATATTAGCAGATTTTTTAACACTATATAAACTTTTCAGACATTAAATTAAAGAATGATTGATGTTAGGTCTATATTTTCTCTTTTTCATATTTCAAAGTCATAATTAAATGTTTGTTTTGATTGATTTTTGTTGTTAAACTTACATTATTAGCATACTACAATAATTAAAAAGGAAAACAACGTTAAAAGAACCTGCTGACTTTTACAAATATAATTTTTAAACATAAATCAAACTAATTTAAATATAACACTGGATACATTCACCTGCTCAGATCAACAGCCACAGCTTTTGAAGGAAAACTGTCTTTTAGTTAAAAAGTGATTTGACCAGAAGCTGTCACCCTCCTTCCTGGTCAGGCAGCAATACAGGAAGTGACGTCATGATCTGCTCACTTCCACGCTCACTTTGTA